CGCGCCCGCCGCGCCCCTCCCCCTTGGCGTTCTCTGTCTTTTTAATTCTCAATCTGCTTAACCAGGCTTTAGAGGCCAAGCAAATCTGAGATCAATTTTCGCGTTTAGCTCTAAATGACATCATCTAAAATCATTGTGCAAGGGCTAAATAAGGAAACGGAGCCTAATTCAGGGGCAAACGCTGGGCTCTGTTTATCAAACGCCAGGCTCCGCAGAGCCGCGGCCAGGGAGCCTCGGGCAGCAGCTTCCAGTTTCCCTGGTGGTGGTTCCGCTGGGCCCGGTCCGGCTAGGACCGCCTCCGCCGCCGCCCTCTCTCCCTCCAGGGCGGAGGCCTGCGCGCGCCCGGGGTTCCTGGGCCTCGGCTGCCTGCACCGAATCTGGACTCTTCGAAGCCGCCAGCAGGTAACTGGCCTCTCCAAACACCCCTGAGAATTAAAGGCCTTGGGAGGCTTGTTGTGTATCTGTGGTTTTGTAACTGCGAGGCCCATCGCAATAGTCCTGGGAAAGACACATCCACAAAGTTGAGGATGTGTCGTTGCCAGGACTGAGCGGTGTTACACCACGAGAAACCGCGGCTCAGAAGGGACCCCACCCCGAGATACAGGCGCGCGCGCTCCTCTCACTTTCCTTTGAGAGCCGGGACGGAGAGCATTTCTTTCCTATTTCCACTCAATCATTGCGCTCTTGGAGTAGTTTTAAGTACTGAATGGCCAACAGGGAAGGGAAATTTAACGCAAGGATCTCCATCCCCATCCCTCCGCTGCAGGAGCCCGCGCGCCTCCCCGGGCAGCTTAGGCGGTCGCCTGGTGACTGAGCTGTAGCTTCGGCTAACCGAGCTACGTGGCAGCGAGGGGATCCGCGCAGGAGCGGCATTTCCTCCTCTTAAGGAGCGCTCGGAAATCAAGCCCGCCTTCCTGGTGCCCTTTGGCCGTAGCCCTCAGCCTAGACCCCCCGGGCGAAGCAAAGAAGCGGACACATGTTCTGGGAAGACACCCGTGGCGCCCCCCATGCTGCGCGAGTTGTGGCCGCTGGGGCGCGGAGCGGAGCGCGCGAGGCGCTGCGGCTGCGGCGCTCCGGGCTCACCTTCTAGACGCAGCCGAGCACCAGGGCCCGACCGTGCGGAGCCGAATCCGGGCCGGGCGCGCAGGAGGGACAGCGCGGGGCTGCAGGACGCGGGGGCCAAGAGCCCGCGTAGGGAGGCCTGAGGAGTGTGTTCAGCTGCCGCCAGGCTTGTGGCCTGGCTGCTCTGGTGGGTGGCCGCCCGCAGGAACCCAAGGTGCCATCTGTCCGGTGAGTTACTCAGAGTGGGGGCGTGCGAGGTGGGGGTGGTGGAGAGGGCCAGAATCCGGGCGTGCTGTGGGAGCCCTCTCCCCCCAAAAGCCCAAGGAAGGCTCGCTAGTAGGAGGCTTAGCTGCGCACAGACTAGAAACTGGTATGGTCGCGTTCCTATCAGATTTCTCCAAAAGACGCCGGATTCCACCCGTCCAGAATTGACCTGCCTCGTCTCTATTCCACATCCCAAGTTAGGAACCTGAACCCATTAATACCACTCCAGCACCCCCACCCCCACCCCGAGCCAAGAGAGTTAGAAACTGAGAAAGCTGGGACCAGGCAGAAGCCTGTTGCTGGGCTGCGGAGCAATGGTGGGTGGTGGAGACACCCACTTGTGAGGAACTAGGGGAGGGGTGTGAGTCCTGCTGCCAGTGGAGAGCTCTCAAGCCAGGTAGGGGGTCTGGATGCGACCCGCCTAAGCGGCTGGGCCTGGGAACGCGTCTTTTCTCGTCTGGAGGTGGCTCAAGGCTGTGGGACAGAAGCGCACAAGGCGGCAAACTCAGAGCTCAGCAAGCGCAGGGCGCGGGGGCCGAGCCGGGAAGAGGGGCCACACCGGGCGCAGTCCTCACAGGGCACAGCCTCGAGGGCTCGCCAGGGCTGCAAACGTCCTTTCCTTCTGTTCTTCGGGCTGCAGACCTGTCCCCTCTTCGTCCTGACTCAGACAAAGAGCAGGACCGGCTTTGCTAAGGGGAGGGAGGGGTCCCAATCCCACGACAGATGGGTCTCTGTTAAGACTTTAATTGCTGCCTTTTGGGGCAGATCAGGTTCCCTTCCCTACCTGCCACCTCCTAACACCGAAAAATCCCCCTGCTGCCGGGCTCCCTCGACACAGATTTAAAGAAAAAAAGCAAAGAAGCCGAGAGCGGCCCACAGCGCAAAGCTCTGGGGCGCCCAGCTGACTTTGTCCAACTCACCCGCCTCCGGAGCGTTACCTGCCTTCTTGACTGAATGCCACCAGTTTGGTTTACGTCCCTCGTGGGTCCCTCCTTCTCCCTTTCCCTCCTCCCCCACGCACTCCTCTTCAACGGCTAAAGGGCCTCTGCTTGCCCTCTCCTCGGTAGACACCAAATGGGAAAGGAAAATGAGTGGCTAAGGGGTGTATTTGCTCTATACAGTTAATACTTCAACAGCTTGCTTTCCGCTCGTCTTTCCGAGATTTGCCTTTTTTTGACAAGTGTTTGAAAGTCAAAGTATGATGTCATTTGAGTAACACAGATGTGGCAAAGCAGCAGTTACGCCCTTTGCATTAAGATCGAGCTGAGCTCCCTAATTTGTAAAGAATGAATAGCTGGATGATCTTACAACATTTGTTAGTAGATATTTATCGTTCAAAATCCAACTCAAAACATGCCGTTGAGGCTTTAAAAAATATGGAGAGTAAGCAGATTGACTTGCGGGGGGGGGATACATTTAAGAAGGATTTTCATTTTATTCTTAGCTCTACTCCTTGCTTGGTTTTCACCCAACACATTTTTTAAAAGATATAACAAAGTCAGCAATAATCAAACAGACGGTTTGAGAATTTAGAAGTGTCTTTAAAGTGTTGGGGTTATTTTTGGTTTTGGGGTTTTTTTGGTTTTTTTAAAAAAGAACACTTGGAAGTGTTGAATTATCTGAAAAGACAGAGCCTTATCTGATTTGCAGGTGACAAAAGACAAACTTAGTGATAGTCTCCTTGGGTTTTCTGAAGGAATCCTACCATCCTTCCTTTTCGGTAGCACTGTTCCTCCCCCTTCCCAGCACACAGAGGCAGGATGGAGGTGAGTTTGAAGTGTGTGATTTTGACATCCTGAGAGAACCAAAGCAGTCCTTGATTTTAAAGGACCAGAGAGCAAACCTTGAGTTAGGACCATTGGAAGAAACGTGGAAAAGTTTTATTCCTCTGTAAAGAATTTTTCTCTAAGGAAAAACTATTGTTCTTTCCCTAGGGGATCTGCGTCTACTTCAATTCTTTGTAAATTTATTTGTAAAATCTATTAAAGACTTACATGTTTGTCACCAGTTTCTTATTTAAGTGCTTATAGAAAGCAAATGCAGTTTCTGATCAAAATTACAGGGGTCTGGAACAAACAGGTCCAAATTTCTTGCCATTCTAGTGAATTCTGACTGTGGAGACCTTACAGGAAAGAGTCGAGCTGCTCATTGGATTTTCAGTGGCAGTAAACTCTGGTGATCTAAGGTGAGAGAGTTATCCTATCCACCAACCAAAAGGCAGGTGGTTCGAATCCACCAGCTGTTCTACTAGAAAATGCTGGGCAATCTCTTCCCACTTCTGGAAGCTGACTTGAAGGGCAGTTAGGTAGGAGTCAGTCCACTTGACTTCAGCAATGAGTTGAGCCCAGTCTCTTTGGAAGGAGACTTCCTGGCCTGGGGAGCAGCTGGCAGGTTAGAATTGCCAACCTTTCAGTTATCGGCTGTGTGCTTAACCTCTGTGTCACCAGGCTGCTTTAATTTTAAGGAACGGAGACCAAGAAGAGTAATTACTAAATAACCCATAATCTTTAATCTTGCTTTCCTAATATGCTATAAAACAATTTTGAATTTTTTTAAAAAGAATAGATTGGAAAACATAATGTATCCAACCTTCTGTCAATTGTATTACTTTGCCCTTAGACATATTCTTTTCCTTTTTAAAAAATTGTGATTTTTAGTAAAAGTTTACAGCAAAGTTGAGTTTTTCTTCATTCCCTGGCACACATATTCCTTTCTTCCTCTCCCATTCCACCATTTCTGATCCACCCCCCTAACCTCCGTGTCCCCTCCACAAAAACACAGCAGTTAATTTTCTTTTCCCTTCTGAGCAGCCCAAGACAGAGGAGTTGTAGGTATCCTGAAGTCTGTGCTGACTCCTAGTGACCACGCACTGAGGAAGAAACCGGCCTGCTCATTGAGGTTTCAGCCAGTTGTTACAGTGACAGCCTCATCCGACTTCCTCTGTGTCTGGAAGGGTATGGAGGAAGCAGGGAGGGCAGGAGTCCAAGGGGACTTAGGGAAAGGCACGAGATGTTCTGATGTGCCACAAATATGAGAGGCAGCCTGACAGAAAGGGCATGACGTATCCCTTTCGTTCATCTTGAGAGTGGGCAAGGCATTGCCCCTGC